GATAAACAGAAAGAAAGGCTTCCCTTCACAGATTTAAAGCTACCCGAGGTTGGAGGGGGGGTTGCTGACCTGTAGTAATACAGTATTAGAAGACAAAGTTCTGACTAGCTAACACAATTGTTTGAGGGTTAGGTAGCTACTCAGATCAACAAAGCAACAATAACCCAAACAGAATGTGCTTGAAAGTTAACATTCTGGAAACCTACAGGGCTGGAAATACTTTTTTTTTTTTGGTTACATGCAAAATGGCATGTTCGGTGTAAAATTTCATTGTAATTTGAAAAATCTACATGCAAAATTGAAGTTCAGCCTTCAGTCTTCTCTACATGTAGATATACAACAAGATACCAGGGAGGTTAAACTTCCTTGAAGATACATAAGAAAATCTCCTACACCTAGTTCTTTCCTCTTATAGAAGGAAAATTCTACACAGTTGCGGGTGCACTTAGGCTTTTTTTTTTTTTGTGTGTGTGTGGATCCCTGCAAGGGACATACATTTTTCAAACTGATCGACCTTTTCTAGCTCCATGATCTGACGCCTGAGTGGTAAAACATTGTACAATCTGTTTTCCAACATTGATATTGAAAAAAAAAGTGTGCTCAATAAAGTCTAAAAAAAAATTACAATCCCTACCTAAGAGAAGAAAAGATAATCCCTACCTACCGACCCTAATTTTGTCAGAACTGAAACAGGAAACAGAACATTTTTTCCCTAGGCCTTAGGCGACACCGACTTAATTTTATGGATAACATAGCGCACATTGATAGCACGCACATTGATTTTCGCCTGTCGCCCAAAAAAAAAAAAAAAAAGATCACCTCCACCGAGGCTCTGGCCTGGCTCTAGGCCTGGGTAGTCAGCGACAAAGTGGGCCGAGCACCCAGGCTATCGAATTCGAAGCTCCACGACTCAAGAACTCAGTACATGCGTACAGTACCGATTCATAAATGCCGCAAAAAGCCTGCATGTGCCGGCTTGTCGTAAAGGTTGCTAAGTACTGTCGCGAATTTCACAATACCAGCTTTGTATTCTTGTGGTTTAGTAGCATTTTTATTTTTGGCCAGAATTTTTTTTTATTTGCCTGCGCGCACTACTTTGGGGGTCTTCAGAAGATGTCATCCATAAAATTAAATCGGTATGGCCTTATGAGCTGTAGGGGAAAAGAACTTGGATAGTGGCCAGGAAGCAGCAGGACATGTCCAGGAGAAGTGATGAGGTGGTGATGGGTCCCAGGGCTGGGGGTGGAATGTGTGCTTTCTCCTGCTGAGGGAGAACAGACCCACTCCTAACAGTCTGTACACCTGACCATCTGTGGCCTGTCCAGGCCTGTCCAGTCGTCTGACCAGCCTAGGGAGTGGATAGGCCATCCTCCGTAGTTTCTGCCCGCTCCCTATCCGTGGTAGCCAGCGACATTAGGGAGCGGGCAGAAACTACGGAGGATGGTACCCAGGCTAGAGAGGATGGCAGCTCCCTGGCAGGCCCCACTGTTGTGTCCTTGGGGAAGGCACTTTACACCTTTTTTCCTCAGCTTCAGGTGTAAATTAGTACCTAGCTTTGGTTAGGGGCATCCTCTTGTAGCACCATACTTATGAAAAAGAGCCTGAGTTGTTCAAACCTTACGGTCTGGTCTCATGTTTGACGATCTGACGATCTTGAAGAGGTGACAGTCACCTGTTATGTCAGTCCTTCCACAAATGTGGTAAAGCTTCATAAGTAAAAAGATAAAGTATGTGTAGTGAGGGTCTGCATGCCTTTTTTTTGTAAGGCTTAGCAAGCTGTTAATCAGACCAAATGTCAGGAAATTCTTCATGAAGTGAATTCCATGTAGCATGTTGGTTGCTATCCTGAATTCATCGTTAAGCATTATTGAATGCCATATTTCCCCCAAATCATACTGAACATCCAAGATCCGAGACTAGTTTTGTCAGACAACATTCCGTTGAAATCGTTCCCACAACCGTGCTGTTGCTGGCCTTCCTGAATTTACTGTTAAGAATTGCCAAAGTTCCTAATTTACCATAAAACATTGACAGGATCCCCCTATGCAGACCCTCCCCAGAAACAAAGTACATGTACTGAAGGAGTGTTAGAGGTTAGCCTGGTTACCAAACCTATTATAGCTCCCGAGTCCTACATCCTCTCCGCAAATTGCGGAGAGGATGTAGGACTCGGGAGCTATAATAGGTTTGGTAACCAGGCTAGTTAGAGGTAGGGAAGGTAGAGGAAGAAGCACTTATAAAGAGATTGAGATTCCTTTTCTTACTCCAGAAACAGTTGACCATTAGCCTATCTACACAATAAGGTCAAGAGGGTACAGGTTTAAATTGGAGCCATGTGGCTGACTTGAGGTAGTGCCGCACACTGTAACAAGACCTAAGCCAGCGCCACTGCTGGGACCATGTTGGAATGTCCAGACTGGAGACTTCATGTGTTCTTGTGTTGGGGTTGATTTGATATGGTTGTGTAGGTGTGTGGGAACACAGCCAGCCACCCCAGGGCAGGTCTGGGAGGTTAGTGAGGGCCTGCAAGGGGGGGTCCCGACAACGCTCTACAGTCTACACTGAATTAGGAAACCTCTCGATTACGCTTTACGATAAATTCCAAGTGGCTACAACGCATTACGTAGAATTAAAACGGCGAATACGCTCTACGCAAAATAGGCCGATTGGTCCGTCTATGCTATACGTAGAAATAAAACGGCCGATTACGCACTACGGAAAAGGGCTTGCGGGCCCCCTTCTACTGGCTGGGATTGTGTGGAGTAGACTACTGTACGTCCTTGTTGTGGGCCTGCATGGGGGGTCCCGACAACGCTCTACGCTAAATTTTGTGAGCTGGCTACATGTACATATTACTCTGAATTCAGGAAACCTCTTGATTACGCTTTACGATAAATTCCAAGTGGCTACAACACATTCTGTAGGATTAAAATGGCAAATACGCTCTACGCAAAATGTGCCAATTCCGCTCTACGTTGAATTCGAGCGGTCTGTCTACGCTCTACGTAGAATTAAAATGGCCAATTACGCTCTACGGAAAAGGGCATGCAGGCACCCTTGGTGTGGTTCTTTGCCTGGAGGATCGGAGAGAGTGATCCCAGAGGGTCTCCATGAGGGGATTTCGGCAACCTGTAATATTAAATTTTGGCAGCCTGACAAAATCAGGCAGGTGTAAATTGTAGAGAGTAGACGGACCGCTCTAATTCAACGTAGAGCGTAATTGCCGCATTTTGCATAGAGCGTAATTTGTCGTTTTGATTCTACGCAATGCGTTGTACAATGTAGCTACCCGGAAATTATCGTAAAACGTAATGGGGAGGCTTCTTGAATTCCGCATAATATGTAGCCGGCTTTCAAAATATTATAACGTATAGCGTTGTAGGGGGGCCCGCAAGCCCAAGAGCGTAATCGGCCATTTTAATTCTATGTAGAGCATAGACGAACCGCTCTTCGCATTTTGCGCAGAGCGTATTCGCCGTTTTAATTCTACGTAATGCGTTGTAGCCACTTGGAATTTATCGTAAAGCGTAATCGAGAGGTTCCAAATTCAACGTAGAGCGTTGTCGGGACCCCCCCTTGCAGGCCCTTTTGTAGGGATCCCCCCATATAGGCCCTCTTCAAGCTGGATGAGTCACCCCTGACTGACCTGTCCCTAGCTGCTAAGTGAGCATGGTGACAGATGGTCCACAGAGGGGGGGTGACTAGCCCCCCTCCCCCCTGCTGATTGAAGGCCAGGAGAGACCTCACAGGGGGGGAGGAAGCCGGAAATGGGTGATGACTGCTGATAACAAGGGGCATCTGGCAGCCTGTCACACTGTCCATTGGTCCAACACATAACCCACTCACATCTAAACACACACACTTTACAGTGCAGCTCAAGTTACAATGTTTGCATGTTTGGGACCTTATAAAACCAACAGATCAGGATACATTCTTGTTAAGTTGAAGAAAGCCAGGCCCTACTGTAGTAAGTCCACAGAGCTGAAGTATTTATCCTTGATGGGACTGTCTTAGTTAGTAATCCCCAAGCACCACTGGCAGGACTGATTAGGCCACACCAATTTAATTTGTTGTTCCTTGGATTTTTTCAGAAAAAATCTGAAGCGACAAGGTGAAATTAAAAAAAAAGGCCAAGGCACCCTATGATAGCCAAAAATGTTACAATATGAGCCATGAAGTGAACATACCAGGCTGGTTTATAATTAAAACAATAGATTTTGAACTTTAAATGAAACAGAGTTGCATTGGTTGGTTACATAGGAAAACTTTAACAACTAGGAAGAAAAGGACTTTCTTCAACCGTTGGGCCCAAAATATGTCTTTCATTGAGCATTTTGCAGTTGATTCAGAACCTTACTTTTTTTTCTATTCTTTTGCAAATCAGAAAAAAATGGACAGGGCAAATTCGAGAAACAACAAATTAAATTGGTGTGGCCTTAGCCCACACAAAGACAAGAAGCAATGACTAGCCTGGGAAAACTTCTTTAGGTATAAACTTTTAAACGTCTATAAATCTTCTCCGTGCCTTAGAGCTATAAATTTTACAGATGCAGCACAAAGAAAAAAATGTAAATGTTCTTGTCATTCAACTAGGCAACAGGTGGGCTGTCAGCTTTATTTACTACTTACAAATTGGCTAAAACACCTTCGGGGGAGTCGTGAATATGGAAGGTGTCAGCTTTGCCTTGCAGTGGTAAGGACCTACAAATGTATTTATCTGCTCCATCAGTTCACCAAGCTGGCAGCTAGTAAAAATCAGGTGGTGGTGCTGCGCCCTTTCACGGTTGGCTGCCACCAGGACCAACCCATGATGTGGTCTCAGGAAGAGTTCTATTCCATTAAGAGCGGCAAAACAAAAATATTCCGGATGAAAAAATCTGTCTGACTTGAACATTTACCGTCATTTCTTAACCCTTTTTTTTTGTCATCATTTCATATTTGTAATGTCGATTGAAGTTTACTACCATTCAATGGTTAAGGTCTTCTTTTTGTTTTTCTAGAATGGAGTGCAGAAGACCTGGGACTACATGCATGTACATGACAGGTGAGTTATACTTCTGACACATGCTACACCAGGGCTACAAATTTATGCAGGTATTTCTGATGTCTACCTGCACCTAACCTGAACTGGTCCATGTACTGGGTATATGCAGGTTAGTGCAGGTAAAATTGGAGCTGTGCAGGTATTTCTGATTTTAACCTGCACTGGTCCGTGTACTGTACATTTGCAGGTACATGTAAGTGCAGGTAAAATTGTTTCAAAACAGTTATATGATCCTTACTGCCTAGATTCTAATAATTCTATGTGATGCAGGTAAAATTGGTCTGGTGCAGTTTAATTTCAATGTTAGGCTACACCAATTTATTTTCTTGGTTAACGGATTCGCCCGCTTCATTTTTTCCTGATTTGCAAATAAAAATAAAAATTCAGAATCAACTGCAAAATGCTCATATTTTGCCCTGAACAGTTGAAAACAGTTCTTTTCATCCTAGTTGTTACAGTTATTCCATCTTTCAATGCAATGGTATCATTAAAAGTTCAAAATTCATTGTTTTAATTTTGAACCAGCCTGGTGTGTTGACTTCATGGCTCCTATCGTACCATTTTGGGCCATAATAGGATGCCTAGGCCTATATTTATTTTTATTTTTTTTGCCCGCCTGCTCCATTTATTTTTCTAGAAAAATCCGTTAACCAAGAAATTAAATAGGTTTGGCCTTTTGCAGAAAAAAGGATTTCTAGCCCTGTATGCTAGTTCACTGGGAGGTTAACTCGATGCCAATAAAGTTAGTGGCAAATTACTACCTACAGTGTGTGCCTGAATGTTAATGGGTGATATGGCTGTTTGTTGAAGATTAATGAAAGCATATGTAATTGCGCCATTAATTGTATTAATTGTAGCACCCAGGATGTGGTAACACCTGGGGGGATCAGGGAGAAAAGTCGACTGCAAACTTTTCCGCAAATCTGTTCCGCACAACATCACAAATTAACCTGGTTAGTCTCATTGCTCACCATGCTTAAGCCTAGGAAAATTAATGTTGTGTTCCCAGTTTTAATCCTGGAAAAAATAGGGTTGCTAGGTAGGAGTTTTCTCACTTTTTTTTTCTGATTTTTTCCGAGGGACCTTTCTAACTGTTTACTTGTGGACAAATTTTTCACCAGATTTACTGAAAAAAATCGCTTGAAATATTTGTTAAAATGATGTTTCAGAAATTCAGAGGTTTTGAAGTTCAGATGGATGTCAAATCAAAAATCTTATAGCCTTACCTTAGGCTACACCAATTCAATTTGTTGGTTCTTAGATTTTTTCAGAAAAAAATATGAAGCGACAGGGCGAAAAAATAAAAACAGGTCTAGGCATCCTATTATAGCCCCAGATGCTTTAGTAGGAGCCATGAAGTCAACACAAAGGGCTGGGTTGATATTTAAACAATGAATTTTGAACTTTTAATCAAACCACTGCTTTAATTTGATAGATGGAAAAACTGTAATATACAGGAAGAAAAGGACTGTTGGGGGCAAAATATGAGCATTTTTGAGTTGATTCAGAACCAGAATCTTTTTTTTTTGCAAATCAGAAAAAAATTAAGAGGCAAATCCAAGAACTAATTAAATTGGTGTGGCCTTAGGTCTAGGAAAATTAATGTTGTGTTTCTGGTTTCAGTCCTGAAAAAATAGATTTGGTAGGTAGGGATTTTCTTTTTTCTTTTAAGTCATTTTTTTTAATAGATTTTGTCTCAGGGACCCGTCTACCTGTTTGCTTGGGAACAAATATTTCACCTGATTTACTGAAAATAATTTCTTCAGAATATGTGTTTTAAATGATGTTTCAGAAATTCAGAGGGTTTGAAATTCAGGTGTTAAATCAAAAACGTTGTAGCCTTAAGAGTGGTTGATTTAAAAAATGGCTAGGGTGGGGAGTTTTGCTAGGGTCTGTCAGGGAAACAGGAAACACAACACTAAGGCCGACTTTAGACTGACGACGGTTGAATAGTCGTACGAATGTTTATCGTCAAGATGTTGCCAGCGACGGTATTTTACCACCGTCTAAAGACGATCAAAATAGTCGCACAACGGTAATCGTCGTCACTACCACCTCGGACCCTATCGTGCGATCCTTCAGCGGGGGGTCCGAGGAGGATTTTCCACCGTCTAAAGTGAACCGTCACCGGCGAAGGAAGTGGGAGGTCATTGGCCTTATGCAAATAAGCCTGCAAGCGTTATTTCATGTCCAAGCACATCGCCTGTATCATTAAATGTTGTCAAACCAAGACTTTTCTATCATCATACGTGTCTAGTACAATCCCCTGCCACCAATCACTACTTCTCCGGTACGAACCGATCCGCTGATCCACATTTCCCGGCCAATAGCCAGACCGACGGCAGCACCGAACGCCGGGTTCAAACCCGGAGTATTGCCCCGCTTGGTACATGTGCCTCATGCCCCTTCTTTGCTGGGCACAAACTAGGAGTCTCATCCACAGAACAATGAGTTAAAAGCAGAATAAAAATAATCTGCTGCAGCATGCCAAAAAAGGGGTTCTCTCGCCATTTTGTGCGGCGTGCTATCCTGCGCTGCGGGTGTCCGCCACGCTTCCTGGTCATGTGTCTAAAGTCAGCCGTCACCCACAACGATTGTCGTGCGATCGTATACCGTCATCAGTCTAAAGTCGGCCTAAGCTTAGTACCTTCCTTATTGCATGACACTGGCTCTGTACTAAGCAGTGGTTGTGTGGTGTTAAACTTTAATAGCATCTGTTCTCTATCCCGTTAAGTTGAAGGAAATCATTAAAGCTTCACACTTCAATACAGAGGAGAACAAGAATCAAGGTTGTTCACAAGATGGAGGTCTTGTAAGGTTAGCAGCTGTGCCTGTTTGTCGTCTTGCACATTGTCAAGGTTGACATCAGGAGGCAGGTTTGCTGAAATCTGTCAGGAGGTGGCATGATGTGAACACCTGCTCTGTCTGGCATCTACCGCTCAACTTTAATTAGGCCACACCGATTTCATTTTATGGATGACATCCTCTGAAGACCCCCAAACTAGTGCGCGTGGGCGAATAAAAAAAAATTCCGGCCAAAAATGAAAATGCTACCAAACCACAGAAATACAAAGCTGGTGTTGTGAATTTGGCGCATTACATAGTGACGTATACGACAAGCCGGCACATACTGGATTTTTGCGGAATTTATGAATCGACACTGTACATATGTACCGAGTTCTTGAGTCGTGGAGCTTCGGCAGCCTGGGTGCTGTCCTCCAGAGTTACCACCGGCTTCGTTGTCCTAACCACTATGAACTACCCAGACCTAAAGCCAGGCCAGAACCTCGGGAGACGTGATCTTTTTTTCTTTGTTTTTTCAGGCAAAAATCAATGCGCGCGCGGATGTCATCCATAAAATTAAGTCGGTGTGGCCTTAGCAAAAAAACCTGCCAGTGCCAGCAATGGTGATGCTTTTCCAATGTGGCACCTTTGATCAAAGGCATCCAATGCAATTTCAGGGTAGCAAAACAAAGAATGTATCTGTCTCATGTTGACACGTACTGCCACTTGTTAGCACTTTTTCGTCATCATTTCACATTTGAAGTAGCCCAGAACCAAGCTACACGAGGACTCCCTAATTTTTTGCTACCATCAATAAATAGCTAGAACTTTTTCTGTCAGCAACATCTCATCTTTGCCTCAAAGGCTCAACTTACATGTACATGTACTACATTTAAAAAATGATCTGGAAATTGACTTTGAAATTGCAAATTAATCCAGAAAAGTCCTGAACTTGTATGTTTTGGGTGGATTTGCTGAAGTGTGACAGGAGGTGTCATGGTGTGAGCCTCTCTGTCACACACCTGCCCTGTACTGCCATCTACCACTCAACTTTAATTAGCAAAAAAACCTGCCAGCAATGGTGATGCTTTTCCAATGTGGCAGCTTTGATGAAAGGCATCGATGTCCAATACAATTTCAGGCTAGCAAAACAAAGAATGTTCTAGACGAGGAAATCTGTCTTATATTGACTTTTACTGCCATTTCTTAGCATTTTTTAGTCATCATTTTGTCTTCATTTCATCAATTTCCACACTTGAAGTAGACCAAAACCAAACAGTAGTCCCTAATTTTTTGGTACCACCAATAAATAGTTAGAACCAGTCTATGATATGGAATAAGCTAACTGTTTCTGTCAGCGACATCGCATCTTAGCCTGAAAGATATCAGTTTGCTATGGGATATATAGGATTAATTCAACAAAAAATGACATGGAAATTGACTTTGAAATTGAAAATTAATCCAGAAAAGTCCTGAACTTGTGTTGGGTGGGTTTGCTGAGGTCTGACAGGAGGTGGCATGGTGTGAGCCTGTCTGTCACACACCTGCCATGTACTGCCATCTACCCCTCAACTTTAATTAGCAAAGAAACCTGCCAGCAATGGTGATGCTTTTCCAATGTGGCAACTTTAATTAAATCTTCCGTGTGGACATCGGTCTTGGCTGCCGGAGGAAGTTTCTATAAGCTATTGCCAAGACGTGACAGGATGTGTGAGATCGTGTCTGACGCCACTGCCAGTTCTCTCTTGCATAACCGGTAAACTGCCTTTTTACCTTCGCCAAGAATTGACGAAGGTTATGTTTTCCTGGCCGTGTGTCTGTCTGTGTGTCAACAGCATAACTTGAGAAAGCTTTGATGGATTATCTTGATATTTGGTAGGTGGGTAGGTCTTCATGAGACGTGGAACTGATTAGATTTTGGGCCCCCTAGCGGCTTGTTATGGTACTGCAGCTGAACTTCCGGTTTTGATATCTCGTGATGTGGACATGCTAGGGTCATGAAATTTAGATGGTAGATAGCTCTTGTGCTGGGAATGAAGTGACAGGAGTTTGAGCCCCCTAGCTGCTTGCTCTGGAACTTCAGGGGCGTTAGTTGAAAAATGTTTAAAGGCTGATAACTCAAGAACCGATTGATGGATCGTTGTGATTTTTGGCATGTAGGTAGCTGAAGTGAAGCTTGACATAATAATATTACAATTATGCAAATATTAATGTAA